ACCCACAACAGACAACAGTGACCCACAACAGACAACAGTGACCCACAACAGACAACAATGACCCACAACAGACAACAGTGACCCACAACAGACAGTGANACAACTAACTAATGACCTCTGACCCTAACAGTACTAACACTGTCTGGCCTCTAAAGGTTCTCTTCCTGTATACAACTAACTAATGACCTCAGATCCTAACAGTACTAACACTGTCTGACCTCTAAAGGTTCTCTCCCTGTATACAACTAACTAATGACCTCTGACCCTAACAGTACTAACACTGTCTGACCTCTAAAGGTTCTCTCCCTGTATACAACTAACTAATGACCTCAGATCCTAACAGTACTAACACTGTCTGACCTCTAAAGGTTCTCTCCCTGTATACAACTAACTAATGACCTCTGACCCTAACAGTACTAACACTGTCTGACCTCTAAAGGTTCTCTCCCTGTATACAACTAACTAATGACCTCAGATCCTAACAGTACTAACACTGTCTGACCTCTAAAGGTTCTCTCCCTGTATACAACTAACTAATGACCTCTGACCCTAACAGTACTAACACTGTCTGACCTCTAAAGGTTCTCTCCCTGTATACAACTAACTAATGACCTCAGATCCTAACAGTACTAACACTGTCTGACCTCTAAAGGTTCTCTCCCTGTATACAACTAACTAATGACCTCTGACCCTAACAGTACTAACACTGTCTGACCTCTAAAGGTTCTCTCCCTGTATACAACTAACTAATGACCTCAGATCCTAACAGTACTAACACTGTCTGACCTCTAAAGGTTCTCTCCCTGTATACAACTAACTAATGACCTCTGACCCTAACAGTACTAACACTGTCTGACCTCTAAAGGTTCTCTCCCTGTATACAACTAACTAATGACCTCTGACCCTAACAGTACTAACACTGTCTGACCTCTAACGGTTCTCTCCCTGTATACAACTAACTAATGACCTCTGACCCTAACAGTACTAACACTGTCTGACCTCTGAAGGTTCTCTCCCTGTATACAACTAACTAATGACCTCTGATCCTAATATTACTTACACTGTGTAGAACTACCCACTTCTGATCCTAATATTACTTACACTGTGTAGAAAGTCTTGCCTTTTACCCTAACAGTACTATCCCTGATATGACTAGTGACCTCTGAACCCAAACAGTTTTATTCCTGTATAGGACTACTGACTTCTGACCCTAACAGTACAACAGACCTAAGACACTAACAGTACTATCACAGTATATGATTACTGACCTCTGACCCTTGTACTTGACAACTGACCTCTGACCCTTACAATATAATCACTGTATAGGACTACTGAGTACTGACCTCTGACCCTAACAATTCTAGTGATATTTGTAAATTGTTGTTGATATACTGTGAAATTAGTAAGAATACTAGCCTTTGTCACAGCAGTACTTGTGCCGGCCACTGGGACTGTGATCTTCCTGTCCCAGTGATGTGGTTTGGTACTGCCGGAACCATCCACTTAACTATACACGTTCCACTTGTAATAGTTCATTTTAGAACACACTGTGTTTTGCTGGAACATATGAACAAGCCTATGTCATTTCCTGCTAGCAATATGTCCTAATGCACAGATTTTAAACCTGATATTTTATTTACTGTAATACACAAAAGATGCATATTGTATAAATTGCTATAACAATCTAAATAAAATCATTTTTAATGTGATGGATGTCAAAAATCTTCTGATCCCCATCCTTTAACACTGAAAAATAAAAGTGACCGGGGAAGCAAGCACTGTATAATTCTACATGTCTAGGATGTGTAGTGCAGCAGATTGTTTAAAAAAAAGACAAAGTTTACAGTTTTAAGTGTAAGTTTTATTCATTTGAAATTTCATTTACAACATTCATTTTCACAAATAGCTGTCTGAATACAAGAGTTACTACAACATTACAGAAAGTACGGTAGATGTCCACAAGTTTTGATATCATAGTTATTTTGCAGTAACACCTCTATCTGTATCTATTCATCAGCTATCTAATAGCTTATGTCTGTACCCATTTACATTACTGGGTTGTACCAGCAATAGACCAACATAGTGGAACCTAATGTAAACTGAGACTCCGACAATCCAATATCTAGTGGTACATGTATAACACTGTCGAGTTCTCACCAATCTAATATAATGGTAGGAAGACAAAGTTTATATATTCAGAATTTGTATTAGACAATTAAAACAACATTATGAAAATCAAACAGATCTTTCATCTTGAGATCCTTAAAGCACATGTTTTCCTAACACATCTTAATACATCATATTCCTTTTCTTGTTATCAAAACTAAAAGACATGTACCGTAACTATCATTAACTATAATCCACTATATGATAATTACATCAATTTGTCCTAGGATTTTTTATCAGTATTAGCGATCACAGCCATTTATTATTGCCAAACATAGCGCTGTAAAACAGTGACGTGATAATCATTGGCATGATACAGCTACTAATGAAGGCGGTATCAATGCAGCATAATGCGCCGTCAAAAAAATAGAAAACAAAGAAATGACATCATCAATCAAACACAGATTGTCATTAATCTATAAGTTGTCGTAACCTTATATCCCCTCAGAGTCCAACATTAGACTGTTCTGTGTCTGATCTGGACCCAGTCCATATTGTTCAAAAGAAGCTAGAGGTTGAAGTGTTTTGGAAATCCTTGATAAACACATTATGAGCCAGATATGCATGTTTAGTGTAAATGACATTATCACTGACAGAGCTGTATTATTATTACAGTGGTAGTCCACAGTACACTGTATGTAACCTCTATGGTAGTCCACAGTACACTGTATGTAACCTCTATGGTAGTCCACAGTACACTGTATGTAACCTCTATGGTAGTCCACAGTACACTGTATGTAACCTCTATGGTAGTCCACAGTACACTGTATGTAACCTCTATGGTAGTCCACAGTACACTGTATGTAACCTCTATGGTAGTCCACAGTACACTGTATGTAACCTCTATGTACCATACATGGAAACCTGCATAACATCTATACTGCAATAACAACTGTTTTATTCCTTGATCTATACACTATTTTTACACCAGTATTTCATATTAACAGTTTTTTCTGAAATTCTAAATTAACATGCAGGGTTTCCTTGATCAGTAATACCTTTAAAACTTTATTTCCATGTAATTTTATCTAAGATCAGTAGGAAAAACAGTCAAAATCTAGAAAAAATACTGTTCTGATTTTATTTTGTCCCACGAATTAAAACCTGCTGGTAATAGATTCCAAAGGTCAATAGTAACAGTAAGTTCATTCTTCTTCACTTAATACGAGGTGAAAGGTCAAAAGGTCATTTATAATACAATTGTTGAAGAACATTTACACATTGTAGTCCATATACACACAACCAGCATTAGTGGCTGTTAATTATTACTGCATGGGTGCTGTCCTGTAGCCCTAGAGGTCATATTGTACTAAAGGTCAAGTTCAGCTAAAATACATCCACTACAATCAAACATACAAAAACTGTACCCCGACAAAAACATAAGGTCTAATTATATGCTTATACAAGTATTCCTCTTAAAAATGTGTTTGTGACACACATGTACATACACTATGTACATACTGTCAGTGGTGCACAGGTGTTATCAAAGTTACAATGCTCCAACAACAAAACTTCCCCATACTGGAGGTTTTTGTAGAATGTGTTAACCTAAGGTTTTATAGTGCATTTAGCTTTCCTGGTATGTGTATTACAAGCTGATCAATAAATGTGTCATCAGCTATATCTGTCTCTTTAGAGAAATGAGAGCTGGTTTGCCTGAATAATCCTCCTACTTTTGTACACATGTGATCTACATGTAAAGCCTAGAATAACTCTGGTGTAAAAACTGATATAGTAAATATCTGAACTGTAGTCTGGAGACATGAACCTCTTTAGACAGCAGCAGTATCCATAATGCATCAGTTTTATGTAAAATTTGATAAAGTATACTATGATGTCCTTATTTTGGTGTAAGAAATATCATTATGCAAAAACATGTCTTAAACATCACATTTCTAAAACTAAATTACAAAATGGTGTGAAGGGACAATATATACAATATGAGACTTGATATTGTCTCAACGAAGGAACACTTTGGCAATGTAGTTGGTCCGCCATGATTCAGAACGATTATAGGAATATACACCACTTTTGTGTCATGTAAGATTTATAGTCAGTATAAATGTGGTTGAACAAATATGTGAAATATAAATCTAGTGTGTGTGTGTGTGGCCCTTATGATGGTGAGTAAATGGGGACTATTGTTTATAACAATTTTGCAAGTGCTATCAAGTAAAAGCCTGCGATTATACGATGCAAAGTTCTGAAAATATACAATGTAAAATCTGATATTATACAATGTATAAAGTCATATATTATACAATGTAAAATCTGATATTATACAATGCATAAAGTCATATATTATACAATGTAAAATCTGATATTATACAATGTATACAGTTATATATTATACAATGTAAAATCTTATGGTATACAATGTATAAAGTCATATATTATACAATGTAAAATCTGATATTATACAATGTATAAAGTCATTGATTATATGATGTAAAGTCTCATTTTGTAAAATATAAAGTCTGATATTATACAATGTATAAAGTAATAGATTATACATTGTAGAGTCTCATATTATTATACAATGTAAAATCTGATATTATTCAATGTATAAAGTAATAGATTATACATTGTATAGTCTAATATTATACAATGTAAAATCTGATATTATACACTATATAAAGTATTAGATTATACATTGTATAGTCTCATATTAAACAATGTAAAATCTGATATTACCCAAATGCAATATACAATATCTAAAGTCAGAGATTATACATGGAAGTCTGAGATACAATGTAAAAATGTCAGATATTATTCAATGTAAGTGGGATATCATACAATGTAAAACCTTATATTATACAACATATATTATCTGATATTATACAGTCTGGACCTATAAATTCGGAGCAGATACAGTGCAATGTAAAGCCTGAGATTATACATTGTAATATAATTATACATTGTTAAGTATGGAAGTATACAATGTAAAGCTGGAGATTATATAATGTAAAGCTGTCCTGATTATTACTGATGATTGTACAAAAATAAACATTTGATGACATATGGGAACCCTCAGATCAGGAGATAGGTACTAGATGGCCTGTGACTGAACACAGAATTTATAAACCAGCTAAGATGGTGTTCCTTCATCACAACAGATTTCGAGGTCAATAACCTTTTAAAGACATTTTTTTTCAATTTTGAAACTGAATTTATCTCTAATGGATCAAATGGATGTTCCAGAAGACACGACTTGATAAAACATCCTGTTAAAGTTCCTTATATCCCAATATCCGAGTAGTATAGAGGCTGACTGTATAGAGGCAGAGGCTTGTGTTGATGGCATTGTTGGCATTCTCCTTATATTGGAAGGCACTTGTTCACTGTTAGTCCTGATTGTATCATGAAAAGGCACATGAGGCCCGTATGAAATATATTTTCCTGTATGCATATATATATGAATAGATATGCACAAAATATATAGATATATATGACTGAGACACCCCTATCAAGAACTACAACACTTTTTCTTGTGATGATTCGTGTCCTCTGGAGTTTCACCTGGTCGGATCACATGCAGCTCCTTTCGTAAAGTCATGCGCCCCATCGCTTCCTCATGCAGCACACGTGCCATGTCTTTGAACATGTCATAAACTCCTTCGTTTTCCTTACAGGAAATGGAATACACACCGGACAACACGTCACCACACTCACGGATAAAATTCTCAATGTCAGCCTCCGTGACCTTGTCATCACCATCACAGTCGGCCATGTTTCCACACAGGAATATTTTGGCACCCTCAGCATTCATGACAATGTCTAGGATGTACTGTGACAGGATAGTGAACGTGTCTTTGTTGAGTACACTATAACACAGGAGGGCCGCGTTCGCTCCACGATAATAACTAGACCCAATGAAACTCATCCTCTCCATACCTCCCGTATCCCACAGCGACATCTGTACAAAGATAAAAGAATAATAGAGATCATACATTTCATTTTGATTTTCCCCAGAAAAGAAAAACATGCAAACAGTATGCTTGACAGTCATGCACAAATACATAACACTGAGTAACCCACCTGAGGGATCCCCTTACCACTGCCAAAAACCGTAAGTGTGCATTGTAAACATGTGATAAATCACTTTTGTAAAGAAACCCGTATTCTGCAGAACTTTTACAAAAACACAATAAAAAAGAACTTAACAAAAAGGAATTTTCGAGTTTCAAAATTCTAACAGGTCAGTCTAAAGCCTGGACCTCTGATCACAATCTGGTCGCGCTAACCAACTGAGTTATCTCGTCAACAGTGGTTCCCTGGCCACAAGATCATGTAAGTCTAAAACTGTATTAGGTTTTGACTTTGCCAATCACAAACGCTATGAAAAGTGATATTATACATGATTGGCTAAGTAAAAACTTAAGTCTATGATTAGGACCTGGTCCAGTAAATCTACAGTTACATCCAACATCCAACATCCAAAACAAAACAAAATTAAAGGGAGGTTACTGTACAAAAACAAAATTAAAGGGAGGTTACTGTACAAAAACTAAATTAAAGGGAGGTTGCTGTACAAAAACAAAATTATAGGGAGGTTACTGTACAAAAACAAAATTAAAGGGAGGTTGCTGTACAAAAACAAAATTATAGGGAGGTTACTGTACAAAAACAAAATTAAAGGGAGGTTGCCGTACAAAACAAAATTATAGGGAGGTTGCTGTACAAAAACAAAATTATAGGGAGGTTGCTGTACAAAAACAAAATTATAGGGAGGTTACTGTACAAAAAAACAACATAAGTCTTCTGTGGAAATTCTTCAGTGTTTTGCCTGCAATGCGGCAAAAATCCTTAAAATACTGAATGAAAGCTTATCATGGACTTGGTTGCTGACTAAAATGCATCAAATTCAAAAGGGCAATAACTCTGTCAAAATCACAGAATCAGTATGTCAGCTTCACAACACCATATGATATTGGTTAAGCTACTAAATTCCAGCAAACTAGCTGGAAAACAAGACACTAATTGTCCAGACAAGATGGACAAGCTCCAGTATGGCCGCCTCATTGCTGAGGTATAATATCTTTACTTCTACACAGACATACCTTACAGTAGTAAATGTATGTCAATATTCTGGCATCATGTGATCCTATTTTACCAAATTGACCACACACCCTGTGTAAATAGAGTCAGTAAAGTAACATCATTATTCTAATTTATGCTATAGTATTGTGATAAGGAAGGATCCAGATGGACATGGTATAAATCAGTGTTGATGGCGGTACAACTGATACATGACCTGCAAGTAATCATCCTGGTAATGTGCTAGCCCAACGGACAGGGTAGAAACCTGACGACCAGTGATGGGGCAGGAATCCTTAAATCTGACAGCGTAGCTGATGAGGCAAGAACCCTTAACCTGACAGCCCAGCTGCTGTAGCAACCTCTCTATCAGGTGTATGTGTTACTTATATTACAGTCTGTAATTAATTACTTAATTAATGGGGATCTTGTGTAATTACATCCCACTGGGAGGGACAAATATCTTTAATCCATCAGGTTTTACCTAATATCACTATCAGGTTTTAGTATACATGTAGGTGATTAGTATATACTTCTATCTTATCTAGGAATAGTTATTTATGATGAGTTATTTCTAGTTTAAACTCACCCAGAATGTGAACATGCGAGACATATCTTGCGGGGCATGATACATACAAACATGCGATACAATACTGGTATAACAATTGTAAGGTATAATTGGGCAGTCACCCTTTACAAAACTTACATTTCAAAACTTTCAAAATGGCAAATAAAAATATTCAAATTTATGTATACATAAACACAACGTTATTTAAGTCTGAAGTGAGAATGTATGTGATGAGCAGAGTCTCTGGTGTATACTGGTGTATACAGGACAGACACAGGATGGGCTGTGTTATACCTACTCTGTCACCAGAACGATTCTTCCTCACATCAATCAACCTCCATTAAATATAAATAAGATATGTGTTCACGTTTCATAGGAAAGATTTATTTTGCAGATAAGTTTCTAAATGTAAAACAGAAATAAGAAACAGTTTCTTTAGTTTGCCATAAAAATGTACAAACTTATGATAAAAAGTTTGCTATAAAGTTATTTCTCTGTTGACTTGTGTGCACCACTTACAGTAACACGAAGCTGTGTAGTTAATGAGCTATTACGTTTATCTTACTCTACAAGAATGTTGATAACTGTTAACATCACTACACGGATGTTGATAATTGCTTACTACACACATAATTGTATTTATGACCTAACAACTTGTACACATACTATGAATAATACATTACAAGGAACATAATAGTATAAAATGTAACATTTCTGTAGGGAGTTGACTACAGTTATACATTGTAAGTAAGTTATTCTAGTCTAATCATTGGTGTTCGCACCAAAACCTTCACTTCAAGCGTTAACATCCATAGAATTCATATCCATTGAATTTATTATCCAAAGCATTGAAAATCCATAGAATTGAAATAAATAGCACTAAAATCTATACACAATCTATCATTAAAATCCATACCATTAATCATTGAACATCCAAAACATAAAATTCATAGAATTAAAATCCACATAGCATTAAAATCAATTCTACTTATCATTAAATACCCATAGCATTAAAATCCACATAGTATTAAAACCCATAGAATTAAAATCCACATAGCCTTAAAATCCATAGAATTAAAATCCACATAGTACATGTATCAAAATCCATAGAATTAAAATCCACATAGTATCAAAATCCACAGAATTAAAATGCACATAGCCTTAAAATCTATAGAATTAAAATCCACATAGTATCAAAATCCATAGAATTAAAATCCACATAGCATTAAAATCCATAGAATAAACACTTACACAGTAATCATTCTCACTGTCAAATCCACAGAACCAATAAAATACAGTCCTACGTGACCACTGCTTTCCGACTGGGACCTAACCTATCTATTGTAACAGGACCATAATAACAGAAAAGCATTAAAATCAAAACTATTAAACTGTATTTTACTTGGGAGGGCTTATTACCAGATAAATACAGTGGAATTGGACTTACTTTTACATCCATTCCATTAATTTTAAATAGTTGACTACTCTGATCCAGCCCAACTGTCGACTTTTTTCCTGTTTCCATGGTGAATGTGTCGTTCATGAATCTGCGGAATATGGAACTCTTGCCGACTCCGTATTCTCCACACAGAATTACTTTATAGTTGGGCGGTCCCGAGGCCATCACTGGTCTGTAATACAACAAATAGCGTGTTAACAGTAGCAAATGGAACAAACTGATTGATAAACTAACATATATATAGGGTATCTCGCCAACCTACTTTCTCTTGCCCTTGCCATTGGCACCCATTTTTATATGATCGGAGACGGTGAGGTGGCATTAAACCGCAAACCAAATATAAACAAATAATGTACACATAATTAACAAATGAAAAAAACCTATATACAGCATGTTAGGTCCACAATACTCAATATGTTTTAATCCATGTTTGGATTAACTCACCAGAACAATGCATGGTTCAAACTATCTTCGGCGATAAACAAACACAAAACAACATTTGAATAACATTAGCAGTAATAAACAGTGACCAGTTTTTCACGATATTTGAATATGAAACTTTGTTGAAACTTCAAAATACATTTATCACATTATGATCACAAATGAGCACTAGATGTCACTACAAACAAACACAAGAAAGGAGGATCCTAGACATGGAAAGTTGATGTAAATACCACCTAAAAAGATATATCAGAGGAATACCTACTCCATGGCTAATTACGATGTCAGTACAACAATAGTTGTCCTGTTGGCTGTCAGACACATCCCCACATACCAACAATGTGTCAGTGTATGTATACTTTACATCCTCATCAGCAAACAAACTACAGCCGTCACTTCCTCCTCAAGGACTTCCCTTACACCACTATTGATCCAACAGGTTGTGCGACTTATAGGCTTACTTAGATATCACAAACTACAGCTTAGTTAGAGCTCCTCGGTATGTACTAATCTCTGAAGACCTCTGAGTTTACAACTTTACTTAGAGCACAAGATGTACAATTTTACTGAAGAGCTCAGAACAACTAGTTTTAGCTAGAACTCTGGGTGCACAATTTATAGTTTAACACATACAACTTTACACAACTCCAGATGTACAGCTTTAGTTAAGAGCTCAGAATATGTACAATCTGTCAAATAAAAGGATCAGCAATTGTAAAATATTTACTTAACCAGGACAGAAACACTTGGTCAAAAGCAGTACTCACCCTGATAAGCTTTAGTGTACACAAAGTCAGATATAACTGAAATGTGATAATCTCTCTCACATTTACTGTAGAAAGTTCAACACAGGTTTAGTGGACCTATCACTATCGGTGACAATAGACTACAGGTTATCCGACAGGTACATACTAGTGTTAAGAGTAAACACAGACTTGTCTAGTCCAAGGTTTACATATCATCAGTATGATAGTTGACATCAAGTGAGAAAGTATAAGATTATGTGAACACTCTGTATAAACAAATGTATATTGACATTTCCGTTTTGCTGCCTACAAATAAATCCACCAACTGACATCCTAGTACAGCCTCTATATGGGAATGTTATTGTTTTAGTCTTTCCATCATACTGGTAAAGTAAATGGGACCTCCAACTTACACTCAAATTCCTGATAAGTTGTCGCCTTAAATTTGCACATTGACCTCATGAATCTAATTTCATCACCTTACACATCTCCTGACTATGATGTACCTTCATGAAGTCCACACATGAAATGGTAGCAAAGACATGCTTCAGAAACATGTATCACAATGTATTTTAGTATTTGAGGTCAAGGTCAAATATCAAAAAGTAGATTTAGGTCACAGTGACCTTTCTTTATTTCAAAACATTCAAACCTTGATGCCCATTCATGAAACAGTGGCTCTAGAAACCTCAATCAGCATAGACAGACAGACACCCAGACAGACCAAACAAGTACTAACAGTATTGTATACCCACAACTTCAGCCTCAGCAGGTGTCTATTTCCTTTGTTGCATTGAATGTAAATATATTGACAGAAATGTATCTATTTAACTTTTATGATAGTATGCAACACAGTTCCATTCAAACTACCAAACACGAGAATATGTTTCAACAAAACCATCTTGTGTGACCATTATTGCTGTTAAAAATGTAGCGGAACTGGACTGGTCGATAGTCGGCGACCAGATAACTCAATTGGTAGAGTGTCCGTCTAGAGTTTAGAGGTTCGAACCCCGGTCTGGCTGTGCATTTTTCCACTCCTGTTACAAACAGTTGTTCCCACAACATTCCTGTCTCAGCTGTTCTGTAACTGCCCATGTAACAGCCTGGTTTTAATTGACATTTTTTTTTTTAATAAAAGCAACATTAACTTAGTCCGCCCAGATTCTTATCTAAGAAATCACATCATACACACAAGCTCCATCTGTGTAGGTCAAGGGACATCAGACATCAGACAGAGAACAGCTGGAAATGTTGTAAAAGGTTCAGATGAACTAATAGAACTTAAGCTTTACATCATTCAGTTTATACTCACAAACAAACACGTCCTGATTTACATATTCAGTTAACATGCTTTAAAACTGGTATACCATCAGTCTTAATACCAAATAGTGTAAACATTCAGTTTATATACAGAAATACGGTACAGGAAGGAATCCAGATTGAAAGTGAAATATATTTGTTCTGTCTTTTAGAGATAAGAGAACCAAAGTAGGTCATATAGGTACCAAACATGTAGTTCAACAGAGGACATCCACTACCACTGATGGTAGGAAAATAGGGTGCTATCTTCAACAAATTCTAACATCAACATTTCTTAAAGGATTTTGACAAAGAACATACTGAATGCTGTTTTTATCTTCAAAAGATGTAAACACACTTTAAACAAGGATATATATAGAATGTAAATGTAGGTCAGACACTACAGACTTGCCTGGTACTCGACAGCCCCTACCACAAACAGGTACAGTGATGGTCCCCACGTTACAACCAGGGGGGAGGGTAATGATGATTGCACAATAATCTGTATCAATGATAACTGCACATTATACTGTATAAGAGAGGAGATGGCAGCGGGGGAGGTTCAGGGTACAGGATTGTAGTCATTTGTTCAACAAACATTCTTGAATAATTTCCAGACTACTGGTGATAATAAGTCACAGATGATCACCACCACAGCCTGTATAGCTAGTTGGATAATCAGAGATACATTATTGTATATCCTTGTCTGTATGTTGCCAGTCTTTCAGTACACTTACATCACATCATCATTGCCAAAATAGTTTTTTTATGATTACAAATATTTGCACAGGTAATCCTTCAAGCCTTCAAAACAAATCTATGCAGTTTATCAAAATCGCATGTAGATCTATGATAACATGGGGACCTGGAGGCCAGCACCAGGCGGTGTACATTCAAGTACATAAGGAGCCAACATAACCGGTCAGGCCATTCTCAAAGTGTGGACTGAATCATCTACACAGTTTATGGTTGTGTCTTCTAATTCACAAATTTTACAGACTTACCACTTGGACAACAGTTCAGCCTCAGTAACAGGTCATGGCCTGGTGTCTATGGGTGAGATCCTGACTGGAACTCTGACACAGTACTACAGCAGGACCATGGCCTAGTGAATGTGTCAGTGTTGTTACACACACTTAATGGGAGACATGTGTAGACTGCGCGTAGTAACACTGGTGCACACACAGATCAATGCTGTACTCACACTGGGAAATCATTATATCTCAACACAAACTTAACTCAACTGTACTCAACTGTGTACATGTGCAGACCACCCATAATATAGTCATATACAAAAAATGCTATAAAGCAACAGGTTACACACATGGACACAAAACACACCTACATATAGAGAAACTACACACATGGAAGCTGCATATAAGGATGGTATATCTTTAACTGTAGACCCATCCTAACTCAGCAGGGATAGTGTTTTCTCTTACCCTGCAGGGGCAGGTGTATCCACCCTCGGGTCGAGATTCCTCTATCTCTCACCCCCTTAGGGTGAGAGCTTCTATCAGATCCCATTACATTCCATGAATGGTCAGTGGTTTCAAACGTTATAATTATGATGTCAAAATGCTTGGGCCATGGCATTTACAGTATCAATGAATGCCATCTGAATTTAGTAGGGTTCTACAGAGGCAACACCATACAATATATAACCATGTGTATCGAAGTCTGATTTGTGTAAGTATGACACTCAAACATACACAGTTCAGACACCCAATTCAATCAAAATATTCTAATGGTTACCTAGATACCAAACATGAGAAAATTCAGATAATGTGTACATCATCATTCTCAAAGTGTCATTTAAAGTTTTCTTTTCAGGAAAAATCAAGTCAGTAAATAGTCGCAGGTGAGTACATACATACCCAGGAGAAAATCACCGTCCCTGAAGTAATGCCATCAAAAGTATACACCCAAGTCATGAGAGCGGTACACATTACAATAATCTGACTTATAAAGGTCGAATTGTGATAATTTACTCGGTATTTCATGTGAGACAGGTTTTAGATTACATCAAATATAGTTATCATAACTTATGGGTGTAAAAACTTGGATATATTCGTAAAGCATTTATATGTTGAAACTGAAAAACATACTATTTACAGTCATAAATGTGACGAGTCAATATATTTAAAATCACACTAATATCATATTTTCTCCAAAGTGTAGCCCTTGATAGGACAGTAATTGAGATTACATCACGATCATTTGATGTCTACACAATAGACATGGCTGCTAACAACGTAAATTTTGAACAAATTAATGAAATAGAGGATATATATATTTAAGGATTCCTGTCCCACTGCAGACAAAACAAAAGAGATTTTTTTTGTACACACAATAACTTCCCCTTAATATCATATGGATATAATTGTAAAGGACCTGGGCCATCAAACTACCACTTAGCACTGTAAAGGACCTGGGCCCTCAAACTACCACTTACCACTGTAAAGGTACTGGGCCATCAAACTACCACTGACCAGGTAGGTGCTGACCAACCCTTCAAACTACCACTGACCAGGTGGGTACTGACCAAGCCTTCAAACTACCACTGACCAGGTAGGTACTGACCAAGCCCTCAAACTACCACTGACCAGGTGAGTACTGACCAAGCCCTCAAACTACAACTGACCAGGTAGGTACTGACCAAGCCCTCAAACTACCACTGACC